TCTACTCTTAGCAGCAGGCTGACAGTTCATAGGTTCTCTGTATGAAGCAGAGGTTTTTTAGACATACTCCTGACTATGTGTTGGGAATTGTAATACATGTTCCACCCCCAATGGCTGTGAGGTGAATGCTCCTTCTAGAGCTGAGGAGACCAAATGTGCACAGCCACATGCAATTGCTCTGCTCACTATCTTTATTCCATGGCGATGGTCCTTCTTTCATTGGTGCTTATACAGGGGAGATCACCCTCTTTCAAACTTTGGAATTTTCATAGACATAAGCACTCCTCAGAAAAGATACTCAACCAAAAGATGCCAGCTGCTGTTCAGAGATATCAAGAGCCAAGAAGCAAGGTCTTAAGGTTACACTGCCATGAATGCATGAAGGAGACTGGATAGAGTGGGGGAATGGGATGTATGCCTTTACCCACCTCACTGTCTATTGATTAAAGCTATGTGGATGCTCCCCAGATGTATCCACAGTGGTTTTTATGTAAAATCTTCCATTTTGAATACCATGACAGAACCAAGGACACTATGCAAATTTAACAAAGCAGCCCGTGAGCCAGGCCAACCCTCATCCAGGTCAACATATGAATGACTCTTTGTCTTCCATGTGGTCTCTTATGTCTGTCGTTATTTCAGAAAGATCACTAATTTTATCATTTCTAACTGCAGCAAAGACAGCAAGAATACCAGAATTCATGAGAAAGAGATAAATGTGGTAAGAGAAGCTGAGACAAGAAAAAATAGACAACGATGTAATAAAATTATTGGATCTATGGAATATGACTGCAAGTCAACCAAACTAGGTGTACACGTGTTGACACATCCAGACCATAATTAGAGAACTGCCTCCTGATGAGAGTATCCACCTGTCTTTGTTATCTGCTGCTGTTATCGTAGAAGTAAAACAAGTGGATGGATTCAATAAAAAGACATTTCTTCACTTACATCTTAGGAGACTAGAAGTCTGAAGTTAAGTCATCAGTTCTGGAGGAAGGCACACTCTCCTGCATGCTCCATTGCCCTCTCCCCACCCCCCACTCCCAGCTTTGGGGAAAGGTCCTTGTCTCCTTTGGGCTCACCATTCTTTTGAGAAAGCTCCTGTGTCTTGGAATCAACCTCTCCTTGGTCTAGAAGGTTCCTGTCCAGGTTCCTTAGGACCGAAGGACACATTTGGCTCTAAGTCCTTCCTTCTTGGCCCTCTGCTCTCTGCTCACCTGTTTACTCTCTTTATCTCAAAAGAGATTGACTCAAAATACAACCTGATCCTAGATATTGTCTCCTGCCCTTTGAACACTGTTAGGTGGTGGAGTTGGGATGTACTAATATCTGACCCTGCAGTGGATTTTCAGAGGCTCTAATTCTCACAGGAGAAGACTGCCCATCTTTCTCCCTTGGAGAAACTCAAACAAGGTACCTCTGGGTTGGCAGTGCAACTCCTCACCACAGTGCAACCAGAACTCTCTTGAAAATAACTGCCTTTAATTTTGAGCTCAGGAGCTCCAGGTGAGGAGTGATAAGAAGTAGTGCTGCCAACCCAAAGTCATGCAGTTCTAATCTGCCAGGTGCTCCATGTGATAAAGACAGGAAATCTCCTCCTGTGCAATTTCCTGCCTCTGAAAATCTGCTGGAGGGTCATCTATGAGTCAGTTCTCACTTGATGCTACACAAAAACAACTGTGCCTTACCAACACCATTGGAGGTTAAGATGTTAGAACACATTTAAAAATTGTATAAGATCACACACTGGTGAAAAATTACCTAAGAAATAGTCAGCTAGCCAAGTTGATACATATTTGCGGATGGACACACCACAATTCCATTCCATAGCATTTTGGATGCAGAGTATGAGATCTGAAGAGCATTCTGCCGGAGCCGTCTTTTTAGAAGCAGTAGGATTTCTCTATTTGCCTCTCTCCAGCCATTATCACACGGGACTGGGACAATGAGACTCCAGGCGGTGGGTGTAGACTGTGTTTATTTCTTTTTTAACGTAGCAAATAATACTATTCCTGATATAGAATTGGCACTAAAGAGATGATAAATAGTCCTTGAATACTGAAATGTCAAATTCGAATTTGGTAATTTCTTATGCACTATGATTTCTCTGAATGTTCTGGGGAGAAATTCAAACTCCCAAATCCAACATTCTTACAGGAACATTCAAAATACAAAAATAACAAAATAGGCGCTTCTAATTCTAGATAGTCAAGTTAAAGTAACAATAATACTCCCCACTCTACAGCACAAAGTCACATGTATAAATATACCGTGTGGATTTACAAGGAAACAAAAGAAACAGCTCAACACAGCTGCTACCCAGATACAATTCTGTTGTATTTTATATTACCCATCCTCTATTTTGTGTCTACAGGAGAGCAAGCCAAAACGTAGACAAAGACTCAACAGATGAAAATACATGTTAAATTTCTTTGTGTATGAACTTGTTGTTTTGTCCCAGAAATGCTTTGAAAAGTCAAAACCTAGATTTCACACTGAGACATTTTGTTGGGTTGCTCGCCAATGTGTCTTGCTTGCCGGCACCTCTAATTGGTCCTATATTTAATAAGAGTTTATAGATCTGGAAAAAGAAAAGGCATTTGGGTAGAGCATGCTGTGAACCAGGGTCTTCCAGTGCACATAAACACATTTTTAGAGGCTTTTTTCCCCCTGTTCGGAGCACATGATTAGGCTGCCGATTGGTTGGCATGACAGAGGGGATAGAAGACTGAAGGAGGGTACAGGAGCAGAGTGTTAGCGGCATAAAAAGCACCACGCCAAGTGGACAAGAGGAGGAAACATGGGATTAAGCAGCTGGAGTTTGGAATAGCAGTGTAAGGGACTCCAGCATTGCCAAAGGTAAACTAACCAATGTTTTAAGGTCAAAAGGGGTCTATGGCCCTGTGCCAACTGGGCAATGCCCGGACAAGATGTCTGCTCCTACAAAGGACATGCCTACAGCACAGGTTCCCCACCCTCGAGAAACAGAGGTGGACAGACACAAGTGTGGATTAATGGGCATTCAGCAAGTGTCTACTGGGTAACAAGAACGGTTGCTGTGAGCTGAATCAGGATGACCCTGATTTATGGCAACCCCACTTCAGAGAAGAAGAAAACACTTTCTGGTCCTGCACAAACTTCATGATGAGCTTGTGCTCCATGATCCACAAGGTTTTCATTCGTAAAATTTTTTTGAAGTAGATTGCCAACCCTTTCATTTTAGTATGCTTCTTTCAATCTGTTAGCTCCATTGAAACCTTTCTGGCACCAAAACAAATAAATCTCCACAGCATGGGATTACTCTGGCCGGGTGTTCTATGTGGGTCTCCTGTATGAAAAGTAATATTCTAACAAGGCATCACTAATGTTGCCCTCAGCAACGATCCTGAGGACTTCATTTAATTCCCGCCTATAGTTGTGATGATGTGGAAACTCATAAGGACACATTTCACAGATAAGGACACAGATCAGAAAGTCTTAGTAATCGGATCACCATTATGCAGTTGTTAAGTAGACAAGTAAAACTTTTTTACTCCAGTGCATTTGGTTTTCGATGCTCTGCTGTCCTGAGGTTCAGAAAGCAGTCAAGGAGAAGAAGAGATGAGTGGGAGACAAGGAAGAAATCAGTCCAAGACACAGAAGAAACCTGCAGCTTCCAACACATTTGACCCCAACCCACAGGAGAAACACACTTTATATGCCTAGTACACAGTCAGCGTGTATTTTTGCATATAAACAACTAAAACTGAGGTTGTAAAACAATTTTACCTGCCCTGTGTACAATACAGTCCAAGCATATCTAATTTCTAATTCTACGTTATTACAGCTCTTATTTTTTTAAAAATGCTGATCAGGACTTAACAAAACAATTTCATGATTTGCTAACTGGTCACGATTCACAGTGGAAAACCTACAGGCAATGCTGATAACCCTTATCAGGTCTAACATTTGAAAAGAATATTGGGCTTTTCAAAATTCCTCCCTGATGAACCTCCCATTTGAGCCAGTATCCAAGGAAAAAGTGAGATGCAAGAGGACATTTAAGAGGGAGATAATTGTGGCTCATCTGCCATTCATTAAAAGGGCATTGAAATCAGCACTCCAAACAAAAATGGCTCCATCTCAATAACAAAGAGGCTTTTCAAAAAAGGCAGATGTTAAACACTTAGACTGGAAAAGGCTCCCATGTCTTTCATGTTCCACCGAGCTTCCTGATGATGAAAGGAACACCTGTAGTAGTCTGCAGGCAAATTTTAGGACTGAGTCACAAACCTATGCTCAGGGTTCTTCCTTCCATTCTTCAGTGTACAAGGTCTCTAAGTTGTCCGGTCAAGGCCCTCTAATCAGGCCTGCTCTACATGGCTTGATTTATTAGACAGTAAGCAGCCACTATCTATGGAAGGCTACAAAGATGGGCTGCTGTGTATGGAATCACCCAAGAGCTATGAACACTCACCGCTATCAATGCATTAAGAGAAACAAAGAAAGGATGGGAGTTCATAAAAGGCTTGGAAATGGTCTCAATAAAAACTTTAGTTACCATGGGGATTTCTGGGAGGGAAGCAGAAGGGTCTCTTTAGAGAAGTGACTGATGCTATTTATTAATCTGCTCACAAGTAATGTCAAATTTTAAAGTTGCTCCAAAGAAAACCACCTTTTTACATTTTTCCCCCCATCAGCCTCTTAATATGCTGAAGGAACCTGTTCAAAAACGCTTCAGCAGCGAAGTTACTTAGATGATAAATGTGTTCTTCAATCTGTGCACCAGTCAAGTAGCAATAAAATCAGAATAATTCATGCAAAACTTTTCATTATGTTTCTAAACATACTTATTTACATTTTAAATCACACATTAGACAATATGAAATATCTTTCATTTAGACAGGTGCGAACAAGAAAACAGATGCATTCATTAAACATGGAACAAATCGGTGAATTAAAATAAAGAGACTCGGAGAACTCTTCGGCTGAAGTGCTTCAGCCCACTTTCAACTTACTTGAAAAAATATGGCCATGGCTCCAATGATCCTGTTTTCAGAAATTGCAGTCTGGAAGCTGTCAAAGTCGTCTGGATTGTAGAAGAAAATCTGCATCTGTAAAAGAAATAATTGACAAAGTGTATTAAGAAAATTTTCATACTCACTTGAACATAGAGAATATGGCCCAGGGAACTTAGGTTCTCAGTAAGATTTCACTAACTTTGTTCATCCATTTGGACTTTTCTCTGGAGTATTTTAGAGCAAACCCCAGACATCATGTCATTTTGACCTTAAGGGACTTTAAAATAATACACATTTTATCACATAATAAAAAATGCCATGTAGTGGCCTAATGGTAAGAAACTGGGCTGCAATACAAAAGGCACATGGTTTGAATCCAACAGTTGCTCCAAGGGAGAAGGATGGGCAATCTCCTCTCTTGCGATTTACTGCCTCTGAAAACCCACTGGAAGGTCAGCTATAAGTCAGTTCAGACTTGGTGGCAAAGAGCAACGATAAAATATGAATTGTCCACATTAAATAGCACTAGTCTCATTCCCAAAGAGAGAGTACTTAGACCGACATAGTCTGTAGGGTCCAACGGAGAAAGATGGGTATTCTCCTCCCATGGGATAGACCGCCTCCAAAACCCTCCTGAAGGGTCATCTCTAAGTCAGCTCCAACTGCCCAGCAAAGAGTACTCACTCTTTGTGAGTGAGTGAGTTATCACTAAACCCAAGGTCATTAGGAAACGTCCTTATTTAGAAGCTAACATCCAATAAATAACTCCTAGAAGTGCAAAGTGAGATGTGGTCCACATATTACAACTGTTGTTTGTTGTTGTTATGTGTCATCGAGTCGCTTGTGACTCATAGCGACCCTCTGTACAAGAGCCCTAAACGCCGTTCTATCCTGTGCCAACCTCGCTGTCTCAAACACATTCATTCTCACCACTCCAGTCACAGAATCAATCCATCTCATCGAGGGTCTTCCTCTCCTGCACCGTCCCCCTACTCTCCCAAAGATGATGTCGCTCTCCAAGGAGCAGCCTGGCTTCACCCTCTCCAGAACAAACCTGTTTGTTCTCCTAGCAGTCAGTCCATGGTATATTCAACACTATTCTCAAGCATTACACAAACTTAAATGAGCACATCTTTACAAACACTCCCCACACTAGTAGGGAGAATTTGAAGTAGTCTGTCAGTAGCTCTGAGAAAGAGCCTAAACAGCATAATTTCTATCTACTCACAAAGAAATATTATGGTAATGACAGTAATAATGCTTTGCATTTCACAATTTGCTTAACGCTAACTTAAATTAAATACTTCCCCCTGCCCCCAAACACACACTTCATTCTCTTAACAGAAAATAAATGGTGCTTCAGGAAACTGATGTTACTTTGTCTAAGACTGAACAGTGGAGAACTCAAAATTCATTGCCATTGGGTCTGAATCAACTCCTGGGTGACCCTCCAATAGGCTTTCGAGGCTGTAAGTTGCAGAGCAGGAGATGGCCCATTTTTCTCCCATGGAGTGGTTGGTGGATTTGAACCCAGAGAGAGACATGGCCTGTGGGTTAGGATCGCAATTTCCTACTGACTGGACCGCCAGAGCTCACTAAACATCAGAGACGAGTCTGGATTGTAGGAGCTCTGCTGCCAATCTTTATAGAAGAGTGTCACTTTTATATTCGCCTCAAAACCTCCAACTCATTGCTGCTGAGCCGAGAGGTTTCTGAGGCTGTAAACAGGAGACAGCTCATCTTTAGTCTGAGGAGCCAGAGAGGCGTGGCCTTGGGGTTAGTGGTGTAACTCCCCGAGGACTAGGTCTGGAAGTGCAGATCAGATACATCAATACCATTATACAATTTTATTGCTGGAACACTCTCTGGTATTTAACAATTCAGAGAACTAAAACAGACCGCAGAATATCCTTTAAGAGAAATCTGAGAAATCACAGAGCTGGACTCCACTGTAGCTTCGTCACTCACCGAAACAGGAGATTTCAGGTAAGCTATTTTCTTAGCATCAGTTATCTCATGTATAAAATAAACCTTCTACACTTGATGGAATGGAATTAGGGAACAAACGAGTCAGTGTAACCACAGAGCAGACCTCAGGTAGAGCTCAAAAGAATATCATGGACATCAGGTTTAATGGTAACATTTGGCAGACAATTTAAAATTTCTCGCTTACAAGGGGATGCTACCGAATCTTCTGGAGTGACCCTCCTCCTTGTAGCAGGCTCCATCCCCTGGAACAGTAGTCCTCCTCCAGGGCTTGTTTTTGCACTTTTGCAAAGGGCATGATGCTATCTACTGTAATAGAAATAGCAACCACGCCCAGGAGGGAGTTTGGAGAGTAAACATTGAACAATTCTCAGGGGGAAAAGCTAAATCAGTGTAACTAGATGAACTACAGGTCAAAGGAAAACAGACTTGAGCTGACTTAATTAACCAACAAGATAAATCTATTTTCTATGAAAGGTGAAGTTAAGGGGCCCAAATCAGAATACTTTCTAAGAAAATCAGAATCCTGTGAGGTCAGAAGTCAGAAATGATGAGCAGATTCTTTGGGAGATGTTCTTTCTTACAGAGCATTCTTTTTCCTTAGATGAGAAGTCTCTCCTCAGTCTGACAGTTTCTTACAAATGTATTGCCTCTAGGTTTGGACAGCTTTAGACATCATGAGTTTATGCGAAGAAAAATTCATCTAATGAAGTCCAGATTAAAACCGTTTAATTCTGGATGAATTGATTTGGGTACAACACTATTAACCCAGGAAAGAAACTCCACACAAGTATATTCATTCAGACAGTTACACTTGCTTTTCTTTTAAAACTTGGACCTTTAAAAGCAGGTTCTTGTTAGGCTTTTGCCGTCAGCCCCTCCCTGAGCAGGGGCAGCATTGTTTAATGCATCAGCTGAACAAGATCAAGTCCTCTTCAAGGGCATTTTCATTTACAACTGGGTGAGGAAATGCATTTTCGGAAAACGCCTTTGAGCCACAGCTCCACCCATCTGGATAATAAATCATCTCCTATAGAGAACAGTAGCACCTGTCTGAAATATCAATTATCTTTGCCATTTCTCCAAGTTGCGGTCTACTGCATCATGTTAACGTCTAAGCTATTTTAAATGTGAGAGTAAATAAGCAGATAGGATGGTGGGCTGGGTGAGCTTGAACTTGACCTTTTTTTTAAAAAAAAAAAAATTTAAATTTTTTTTTAACTTGACCTTTTAAGGGAGGGCTGGTTGAGGGATTTCCAGAAATGCCCTTGGCTGCTGTTTATGTGGCTACCAAGGATTTTGAGTACTTCGTCCCATTTCCCTGTCTCTCTACAAGCCTCTTTCAGCCTTTTTAAAATGTGTTTATTTTTTAATAATGTGACTCAATGTGATGATATTTGTTGTTCTTGGATACTGACTTGTTTAGATACTTGTTTAGTTACTCATTTGCAAGGTTGATGGTTTGAATCTTTCCAGATAAACCACAGAAGGAAAGCATGGTGATCCACTTGAGAAAAACCAGCCAATGGAAATCCTACGCAGCGCCTCTGTTCTGACAGACATGGGTTGCCAAGGACTTAGCTGCAACTCAACTGGAACTAACTTTACAACTGGTTATTTTCTTTTAAAGTGCTAGTTATGGCATTACTTACAATCCTCTTCTTATAGAGATTCATGGCACACACAGCCAAAGAAAGACTGGCAAATCACGCTATCATAGATCTAATACCTGTTCTATTATTTCCTTTACCCAGAGTAACCAATTATTTACATTTTACTCCACCAGTGCACATGTTTTTTTCTCTCTTTGAGGGTCCACAAAGATACACATTTGTTTTCTAAATTATTTGGGAGTAAATGTGAGACAATATTCCCCTCGGCCACTAAATTCTTCAGTAAGTATTTTCTAAGAATAAGATCATTCTCTTACATAATCATAGTACAATTATTAAAACCAGAAGATTTCATACTAATACGATTATCTAATCCACAGTTCATTTTCAAATGCTGGCAAATGACCAGATAAAGTCCATTATAGATAAATTTTTGGTCCTCTATCCAAGATTGCATCGAGATTCAAAGCCCACATTTAGCTGTCATGTCTATTTGAACTGCTACTTCCCCACCCGCATCCAGCCTTTCCTCTGACATACTTTCTCTGCCTTTTCCTTTCTCTGATTTGACAGCGTGAAGTGAACAAACTAGTAATTTCTTAGAAATGAGGTCTGTCTCCTATTTTTCTCATGATTACATTCAGGTGACAGACACATTTTGGGCACGATCATCATAGTTACAATACTGTATCTTCTCAGAGCATCAAAACAGGAAGCTTATGATGTATATTTACCCTAAAATTGAAAGAGTTGATCTTATTCTCCAAATTAGGGTAATGTCTCCAGGCTTCTCCACCATAAGGTTACTAATAATGATCTTAAAATGAGAAAAAGGTATTCTGGAGAGGAGATAATTGGTGATTCTATCAATACGCTGTTCTTCATTCGACTTTCACACATTAGCTCTTGGAACTCATTGATGATTTTTCTAACACTGATGACTTGCAAGCCCCCACCCTTTATATTCACAAATGTTGTTTCTGTGTGGGGACTGGCTTTCCCTTCTCCAAAGGTTATTTATTCAATCATTTATAAACATATGAACGGATTTGAAATATTTTATTCAGTGGGTTGTAATCTATTATGATCTCTATTTACCCTGATGCTCAAATTGCCTAAAATTTTTCCCACTGGGAGAATTCAAAAGGATTCTTCTGTCAAAGTGGCATATTCTCAGTATTTATTTTTTGAGTTGTTATTATCTGACACAGTAACATACTCAGGTTCACCATGTATTTTTTTCCTGCCCGGCCCTCACTTTTGGCTCAAAATTTTCTAAGTGCATTCAATAGCAGAAAACTTTGGTTCCACATTAAAAGAACAGACTTTAAAGGTAAATTTGTCTGTTTCAAATAGGCCCCAACTTCCTTGCAAGAGAAGAAAAGCCAAATCAATGTTGGGTAAGTAAATACTCCGCCACCACGAAGAATATCAGGAGGCATGGATGCCTCTCCAGCCATGAAAAGAAACATGAACTTCAACTGAAAAGCCACT